CCCCCCCCCCCCCCCCCCCCCCCCCCCCCCCCCCCCCCCCCCCCCCCCCCCCCCCCCCCCCCCCCCCCCCCCCCCCCCCCCCCCCCCCCCCCCCCCCCCCCCCCCCCCCCCCCTGCTCCTCCCGTCAATACGAAGACTTGATACCAATTTAAAACAAATTATGACGCGGCTTGATATTACTCGATGCTTCGTCAGTATTGACCTTCGAGGTTGACAGCGGCGCTTCAAGATTAGAGTTACACAAGCTACGGCCCAGCGCTGTGGCGTAAGGTCGGCTCACCCTCCGCAGCGCGGCTCATCACCTCACTCTTGCACTTTCCCGTCCCTTTTCGACATCATCTTCAGAGAACGGGCAGTCCATGTTGCCGTCATCATGGCCGAACCTCCGAACCAAGATCAAGCAGCACCGGTAGAAGACCTCGCAGGCTTTTCCATCCGGCGAACTCCTCCTCCTCCGCCTTCCGAGAGACAGGCTCTACTCCCTCTGACAACTGCTGCAACAAAACAGGCCCATGCTCTCTCTAAGGTACTGGGATCTCGAAGATGAGAAGCACCTCCGCGTGTACACGTCCTAACGTCGGTGGAGAATTTCTCGCGAAGCTGGCGCACACCCGCGCAAGGAAGCCCGGATCTGGCGATTATTGGAACGACGGCTTGGGCTAGATCATGATGACACACGGGTGATGCCCAGCTTTTCTTTTTTTCCTCTTCTTTTTTTTAAGAAATCTAGTAGGAACCATCCTTTTGATTTATTAGACATAGATCGTGTTGTCTGTGGAAGAGTGATATAAGCTTTCTTCTCCACGGCAGCATTTTCTTTATTTCTTTTGCCTTGCGGCTTATTCTAGAAATTAGGGTATCAGTACTCTATGCTGTCCGGCAAGTCCCCCGGGCTGGCTTTGGTTGACAGTTCTCTTGATAGGTTGGCTTCAAACGCTGGAAATTGATGAGATGTGAGCGTACGCTTGATGTATACCTTTATAGACACGGAGAAAGCAGCTATGGAGACAGCAGACACGCAGAAAACAGACACGTAGAAATCGATACGGAGAAAGCAAATACCGGAGAAAGCAGACACTTCGAGCTATTATTCAATGTCATCGCCGCGTATTCCGGGAAATGTCCCGTTATGCCCAAAAACAATAAACAAACATCACCAAGATCGCAGCCGTATCACAAACCAACCTCACCTCTCGACAATGAATCTCGTAGCAGCCATCCTCTCCGCCATGGCCTTCGCGTCCCTCGCCCACGCAGGCACCCAGGATCCCTCCTGGTGCGCCGAGCCCGGCGACAGACCGGCCCACTGCGACCGCAGGACCCACGGCCTCATGCTCTGGCCGCCGCACGGGAAAATCCCCTTCTCTCGACGATACAACCTGACCGTCGCCGACGTCCCCCGCGACGAGATACCCGAGATCTGCGACCGGTTGTGGTGGGGTTTGAATCGTTGGGGTATGACGTATGTTGATTCTTTTTCTTTTTTCTTTCTCCCCGTTTGCTCACTCTAGAATCGAGACTGACTGTACATCTTCTCTCGCAGCTGCGACACGTGGAGTCACGGGGACAAGCCGTACTGCCGCGCGGCGTCGGACAACAGCACGACGCTGGAGTGGTGGTTCGAGACGTCGATGTTGTGCGACCCGTGGAAGGTGCATGGTGCTTGGTGGCATGCGACGGAGAATAAGTACGGCGGAGTCTGGTGCTGTAAACTTGATTGAGGTGGCGGGAGTCGTGTTTTGGGACTTTGAGGTGCGTCGATGGCTTTGCTGCGGCCTGCCTATACTTGGCTGAGTCGTTTGGGTGGGAATTGGCCGTGAAGTCGTGCAAGGTCTCGAGATACGGTTCTTCAGTATCAGGGTCTTTTCATCTGCGTATGGGTCTGCGACAACCACGCGGGGGAAGGAAACGATTTTTTCAGTACTTCGGTATGAACTTATGTGTCTCTACCTCTATGCCCGAGACAGAAACCAGGGTTCTGTAGAAGAGGGAAAGCTAGATCGGGGTTTGCCACGAGCCGGGCAGACCTCAAAGTCTACATACCTTTTGAGCCTCTTTAAACCGCACACAACGTATCACGTCCGCTTCTTGGAGCTTCTGAGAGCAGAATGCACCTTCTACCCTCCATGCAACCCCTTGCGTTCATCTCCACTTGAGCCACAATACCGCTGCGAAACAGTCAGAGTCAGAATTTGCAATGTGACTACTCCGATTGCGTCGGTGTTTGCATGAGGCCGTAGCCATCGATTCACTGTGTTTCGTGATATTTGAAATGAAAACTAGTACAGATTGCAGTCCGCAGATCAGCAATCACGACTCGACGGCGTTCATCCTGCGGCCCGCGATCGGCCCACTTCGGCGTGTCCACCCCGGCGGCCGGGGTTTAGCGCCCGTATCACCGGCCGCGGAGTTCCGCGGAAGGATTCCAGCGCCGGGGTTTTAGTCAGACAGATGACGTATCGCCTCGAGCCGCTTAATCCATGTGGAACGTAGGATTCAACATCTCTACAAGTTGTATAAAAACATCACGCTGCCTAGGGATATTGCCGAGCTTCAGTCGCTGTCATTTTTGACTCACCTGTCAGTCAATCCTGTTGGACGTGAAAGAACTCCGCAAGTATTCCCCCATCACATCAAAGATGTCCGTCCTCGTCCTCGGAGCCGGCGAGCTCGGCGAAGCTATGCTGAAAGCCCTCACCTCACACCCCTCCCGCCCAAAGAACTCACCCATCTCCGTCCTCCTGCGCCCGTCGACGATATCGTCCACAGACCCCGCCAAGGCCCAAAGCGTAGCCGAAATCAGATCCCTCGGCATTTCCCTAGAAGCAGGCGACGTCGTCAACGACTCCGTATCCCACCTATCCTCGATCTTCAGCAAATACGACACGGTCATCAGCTGCACGGGCTTCGTCGGGCCCGCAGGGACGCAGCGGCGCATCTGCGAGGCCGCGCTGCAGGCCGAGGTCCCCCGCTACGTCCCCTGGCAGTTCGGCGTCGACTACGACGTCATCGGGCGCGGCAGCCCGCAGGTCCTCTTCGACGAGCAGCTCGACGTGCGGGACATGTTCCGGGCGCAGACGCGGACGGGGTGGATCGTCGTCAGCACGGGGCTGTTTACGAGTTTCCTGTTCGTTAAGGAGTTCGGGGTCGTCGACTTCGAGGAGAGGAAGGTGAGGGCGCTCGGGGGCTGGGACGTGGAGATTACCCTTACGGGGCCGGAGGACATCGCGAGGATGACGGCGGAGGTCGTGTTTGCGCCGAGGGGGGTCTCGGGGGGCGTGGTTTTCGTTGCGGGCGACACGGTCTCGTACGGGCGTGCGGCGGAACTGGTGGAGAGGAGGTTTTCTGGGGTGAGGTTTGAGAGGGAGGTGTGGGATGCGGCGTTGCTGGAGGAGAATCTGAGGGGGGATCCGGGGGATGTGTGGAATATGTATCGTGGGATCTTTGGGGGTGGGAAGGGGATCTCGTGGCCGATGGAAAAGACGCTGAATTATGAGCGCGGTATCGAGTTGGAGGATCTGGAGACGTGTTTGAGGAAGATGAATACGCCGGATTGTTTGAAGGCGTGAGGCAGCTTCTTGGCGAGAGGAGTAATTCGGCAAATGAACAGTGGACGTATTAAATAATCAAACCTTCTCAGACCATGAGTTGTTGTTGACATTTTGTGAAGAGATTTGAGGCAGTTGAAGTCTCCATGACGACAAGCTTTGAGTACGAATTCCATGCGCGTATGTCCAAAGCTGCACTCAAACTGGTCAAAATCTAACTTCTACGCAGTTGGAAAATACCGAAAAGGGAGCTGCCTGTCTTGGCCACTAACATCGATAGTGCACCAGTTTCGCGATGGCTTCAAAGTGGTGGGGGCCAGATGCACGGCCAAGGTGCCAATGAACCTCCAAAATACGGATAGTCGGCACGATGATCGGTTTCTTCTCAGGAAGAACCAAGTACGGGCAGAAAATCCTGTCTTAAGCTTATCTTTGGGTTGAAGCCCACCAAGTGGCCCAAAATATGCCGTCCTAGCCGGCACGGCATCGCTTGGACGTCTGCTTACGTACCAACTGCCAAGGCTTACGACTTCATGTCAAGACATCGCGACATTTGAGTATTGCGGAATATTTTGATAGGCCATTATGGAATATGGCGTTGCCTGTCGTGTTAGCCACTCGATGCACGATTTAGGGAATGCTTCTAGCTTATTCGCGAAACCGAGATGTTGACATCGGCGTTATAAATGGGCAGATTCGAGAACTGAAAGAATGACAAGTACGAATGATATCTTTGTCAATTGCGCCTCGGATGCTCGTGACTGGATCTATATTGTATGTGCAACAAGTCTGCTGTAGAGTGGTTGGGGGTTGTATGGCTTGGAAGATGATGGTAATAATTAGACTAAAGCGACGTCTACAAGCATACATGCAACCACCGAAGGTTCTCTAACTCATGGAACTGATTGATACGAACTTGCAAACTTATTATCGACACATCTTGTATCCAGCCATGGTGGTTTTACGCATCTTTGCCTTTCTCCTTCAGCTGATACGCGTCGTTCAGGAAAGGCGTTGGCGACTCAGCTAGCATGGAATGAGCCTCCAAATCACAGAAATACTGGGCATCAATACATCAATTGGGCAACTAGAAACTTTCAATGCTGAGATTGGTATCATACCTATGGGCTTTTGAAGCCATCCCATCGCGGCATGGCTACCAGCTGTTTGGGAAGCCATCATGACGAGCATAATGCAATACCACGATATAATCTGAGCGGTCGAAGATCATTACTGGTCATCAATGGATACCGCATTGCTCTGTTCTCACAGAAAACCCTCTGTCAAAGTCTAGATCTTTGCAAACGACCGGCGCAGATGACGAAGATACACAGGCTTCGCAAGCCGGTAACTTCATGCTGTTGTCTGAGCCAGCTGCTCAGAATAAGACTTGAAGTCTGGTCGCGACCATTTCCATGACGGAAGTTCCGGGATAAGAAAAGTCTGACACCGGGATTGGTGTGACGTTGATGACGCGGATGCCGAGACCACGTAAGTCAAATTTGCGTAGGTACCGATCCTGCTCATTTCCCCCGGTTCATCAGATACTATATCAGAGGTGCAGAGGGAATACCCATCAAAGGCCTGGATTGTTCTTCTACACGCACCAAAATAACATCAGACAAACTCTCCACGAACAATTACAGATGTGATGAACTGGTCGAATGCCTAAAAATGAGACGTCAATCAGGACGTAACGGGGCTGATTCAACACAGCTGCAACTGAACGATATCCCATCCGCCGAAAATCTCCAATTTTCTCTCAAGGCAAAACAAGTCCCCCAAAAGGCAGTCGATGGAAAAACTACGCTCCATTGATCGCCAATAGTCTACAGCATGTAGAGATCTCTTCGAGGTCGGGTGCAATTCCAATTGGACGTTCAAAGTCCAGACCGGCCGCCGTAGATGATCGACCGGCGGGAAAACACCAGCGGGCAGGGACTCACAGACAATAGACGGCATTGAGTTCGGTATTGAACTCTACGGCATGTACCACGTGTTTGACGCACCAAAAGACTCGAATTGAGTTTTCTGCCGTTTCGACATTCGAGTCGCACGAGCCCGACCCGGGCCATGCTGTGTTATTGACAGTTGTGGCATTATTGACAGAGTTTCGGGAGAAATAGCTTGAGTCAATCGCGCTGGAAAACAAAAGCGGCTGGTGCTCAACAGATAACCCAGCTGTCCCTGGCGGCGGCACCCTTTCGATCAAATTCTTCTGCCCCCTTTTCCGACGGTTTGCGTCCAAAGCCTGGGCGCCAAGGTCTGTCAATATCAGCAAACAGGATGGGTGAGCGACGCGCATGCCACCTGGCTTGGCCTGTTTTACAATCCGGCGTGACAAGATCTTGACTCTGCAGCACAAGCTTCGGGTTCGTCGCATTATCTGAGATAACAGACGCGAAAAAAAGAAAAGATCAGACAGGTCGGTTGCGGTGATACGAACTGCGGGCTGCTGCGGGCGATGGTGCATGCTCGAAAAGAGCCGCTGGGCGACTACAGTTGCCAAGGCCGCCGCTAAATCAGAGGAGTCTCTCGGTTCCCATACCGATCTATTTCCGTCATTCTCGTGCAGCACTCGGGCGGGTGATGCGACACGGACAGTTGGGTCCCAGGGGCGCCGAAGTGGTAGCAATCGGGATGATCTCAATCCTCCTGGCGCAGAGAGGCAGAGAGGCAGAGCTCCGCTCACTGTGGCAGATGGTTCGAAGCATTTCGGTGAATTGAGTCAAGATCGAACCCGCAGAGCCCTCAACAAGTGTATCAATCAGACAATCGGAAGTCGACCGCAAAGAAGCATCAAACAATATCGACTCTGTCTCAGGACTTGCCTCCTCTCTTAGTCAGAAACAAATCTGGGGGCCATCAAAGCTTGAGCCGTGGCGACGAGCGGCATTGACAATCATATGTCCAAGACAAATCGACGACGGCCAGGCCGCTGGATGATCAGCATCACGGCAACAATCCGATCTTCCCACGAATGAAAACATCAGACGAAGAAGATCTCTGCTCATGCCGAACACGACGGTGAGCGCTGACGTCGCAGTGGGGGAGGACTGCCTCGTCTACCTTAATTCTCTATCCCCGACAGAGTTCCAGCTCAGTCCTCAGCAGACGGGACATGGAAGAAGGAGAAGGCAAACCGCAACAGCATCTCATCAACAAGCAGCACAGGATTGGCTCGGTCCCCACCTTAAAAAACCGGCCGGGACGCGTCCGGTCTCCTGTAAATGAGTCTCGGTTCAGGGCGAGGTCCGGCCTCCGGAAGTGTGGGCGAGCTGGTCCGGGTTCCTCGGAGGGAGGTAGATACAGCCAACCAACGAGTAACCCGAACGTAGCATACAGACCGGAAAAAACATCTTTGCATGGGAATCGCAGTGTGAGAATTTTCAAGATGGGCTTCAAGGCTGCCTCCCCCCGATGGCCAATGCGACACACCTCACATCACTCACCGAGGCCGATCAAGCCACCCCATAATAGGGGGCCATTATATGCGGCTGCAGCACCGGTATTCAACTTGCGGCTGATCGAGGCCAGGATATCCTTGGCGTATATGCGATGATCTATAGTTCACAGCGCACTGATTCTCGAACTTTCGCGTTAAAGCAAACTCTTATGATTTACCGATTTTGCGGTTCGATACGGAGACCTCTGAGACGCCAACTCCATGCCATCGTAGACGACGATCAGAGCAGAAATCAGATGGTCATGTTCTCCATCAAAGCGACCTTAAAACGTCTGAACTGAACCGAAGAAGCCGACGGTCGACGCGCCGGGTCTAAAGTGACGTGATGGGAGTAACCAAGATCATGAACAGCGCGCCTTACTTGCAGCCGCCCAACGGATTGAACTGGCAGCATCAATAATATCTCAGGGGCACCATGCCGCCCGCGCTTCCGTCACGATGGCGGCCGTGGGCTGCTGGCCCGCCAAGACCCTGATCACTTTCCCTCTGGCATCTCAACCCACGCGGCCGCACGCAGTGACGCGGGAGGGCAATATGGCCGTCATGATTTTTTCGTCTGAGAAAGTCTTGGCATTGCTTTGGAAAACTGGAGAGGGTGGAGATCCGCGATAGAGACGTTGGCGGTGGTTGGCCTGGCCGGGTGACGACTGTTTCGAAACGCAGCTGCAAGGGGCAGTACGACATTGAGATGTGCCCCTGGCAGATGGGCATGGGGGAAGTGGGTGAGTGGGCAGCAAGATGGCGTCGTTTGTGGGCGTGTGTGGGAGTGATGAAGAGCCAAGGAATCGAGCGAGTTGTCTGTGACTGAGTGATAGAGTGAGAGAGTCGAGTTTGTCGGAGCCGTTGCGATCTTGGGCGTGGATGCGTGTGGATGCGTGGCTCAGCAATTCCACGATTGCTGGGAGAGACTCCCACGCGTCCACCACATTGGTTGATCACTTTATTCAAGACCTGGGACTCGTCTGTGTTCAAGCTTTGAGGCCAAGGAGATCGAATTAAAGGGCGGGCCTGGCTAGTCAGGAAACGGGGGTCCCCAGTCGAGAAGTCAACACCGTGAGCAGGCATCTCGTCTCTCTTTCGGGCAACGACCTGCGAGCAAACAATCAAGTTGGGATGAGTCCATGTCCAACTCGGGAATCGACTCCGTTTTGACATGGAGCCACAGCCGACGGGAGACAACACCACCACCACCACACCACGCTTCGCTCAGTGAGGTTTGCCGCATGGCATGGCTGTTGGCGCCTCTCAGTCTGACAGGATCTCTTTTTTAGTGTGAGCCCACTTTCTGGAAACATGGTGGATTTGTGGCTCTAGTGCGATCTTCACTGCCTGCATCGACTTTTTCATTTCCTCCGCGTCGCTTGTTGATTGATACCGGTGCGGCCTGCGGAGGAGATGGAGCTCGTGGCCTTGGCTTGGGATGGACCGGTTCCCATTCCAGTCTGGACCACATCCAATATTGGTTCCGGCAGTGTAACTCTACGGTAGACATGGACTTGGGAAGATGTCACCTCCCCCGGCAGCTCGATCGATATAAGTAAGGACGTGAAGTCCGGCCAAGAGCATCTTTTCTATCCCTCATCACTTTCAACTCACTCAACCTCTTCGGTCTTCATTGTTCATTACACTCCTTCAAGCAGGCTTGAATTTACTTCTTCGCTCTCTCAAGTAGACAAGCCCTTCTTCTCTCTCTTATCTCGCCCTTCCTTACCAACCAACTTTCACAATCACAACCACAACCACAACCACATTCAAAATGAAGTACTCCGTCGCCGTCGCTCTCAGCACCCTCGTGCTCGGCATCGTCGCCGCTCCCGCCGCCTCCAACCCGGCTCCCAAGGGCCAGCTCGCCCGCGCCGAGCACGGCTACTTCGACTTCCTCCACAACGTCGCCCGTGCCGAGAAGACCAAGAAGCCCAAGGCCTCCAAGACCAAGACCGCCAAGGGTTCCCACAAGACCAAGCACGCCACCAAGACCCGCTCCCCGGGCTCCATCATCACCTCCGCCCCCGGCAACGGCACCGCCTCCTTCGCCATCGCCGCCGCCAACAACGGCACCTCCGGCGGTGGCATCCCCGCCGCCTCCGGCACCTCCGTCCTCAAGGCCGCCCAGACCGTCGCCGCCGGCGAGTCCTTCGACGGCGGCATGAAGATGTTCGACCGTGGTGTCTCCTGCACTGGCCAGGCCGAGGGCGGCGACTCCGACGCCGTCTTCATCCTCGAGTCCGGCGCCTCCATCTCCAACGTCATCATCGGCCCCAACCAGATCGAGGGTATCCACTGCAACGGTGGCTGCACTCTCGACAATGTCTGGTGGTCTGCCGTCTGCGAGGACGCCTTCACCATCAAGAAGCAGGACGCCGGCCAGACCACCAAGATCACCGGCGGTGGTGCCACCGGCGCCGAGGACAAGGTCCTCCAGCACAACGGCGCCGGCACCCTCTCCGTCTCCGGCTTCACCGTCTCCGATTTCGGCAAGCTCTACCGCTCTTGCGGCAACTGCAAGACCATGTCTGAGCGTCACGTCATCCTCGACAACATCAACGCCTCCTCCGGAAAGCTCCTTGCCGGTAAGTTCTTGCGCAGTGGCTTCCCTGAAATAAACAACAGCTAACACTCCCCTTCCTAGGTATCAACTCCAACTACGGTGACACTGCTACCTTCACCAACATTGTTGCCTCCAGCGTCAAGGAGGTCTGCACTGAGTTCGAGGGCAACGACTCCGGTGCCGAGCCCACCGAGAAGAGCAGCGGCCCCTCCACCGCTTGCAAGTACTCTACCTCCGACATCAAGAGCTCTTAAGCTCCCCAACCAACCCGCGAGATCTGTTCGGGCACCTTTCGCCCCGAATGAGAGATCCAAAAGTGTCATCTTCCGCGAAAAGACACTCAATAGGCTTGTTTACTTGTAGATATTCTTCCCTCTGTACATGCCCATATGTATGTATTTAGAATCAAAAGCCCTGTGGGCAGTTCTCATAACTATGTTTCTCTCTATGTTCGTGATCGTAATGTCTATGAGCTGGTGCGAAAACCCAACTCTCCAGAAGTTGATCTACTTCTCTTTTGAACACCATACTCATATCAGTGAAGTATGAACTTCGTCTCCTTTCTCTCCCCATCATGCCATTGATCGATGGCTCTCCCGTACATATATCCATGAAGGTATGTGTCGCCAACATAGCGATACTCCGAACGACATCCCTCCGGACGAAGTATGACAGGCGTAGAACAGCCAAACGGAACGACGACGACATCGCCGACTTCCATGAATCCAGAACCCATACCCATGCGACCTTTTTCGGTCACGAAAAAGCATCGCCCCATCATCCGAGACCCGAAATTTTCCTGAAGGAACCTCCAACGAGCGTCAGGCTTGATGTCAACTTTCGCATCGATGTACTTCTCGAGGTCACGGTCAAGCGGCAAGTGCGGCAGACGCTCCCGGATCAATGACGCAAACACGTGGTAGCACGCCGTCACCCAGTTGAGCGACTGAGGCCAACTGCTAGGAACCTGGTTCATACGGAGCACTTTGCAGAAAATCTCGTGGGCGTCGACGTCATCGGGTCGGAAATGTCTGAGGAGAAGAGCCCGCCAGTGAACGAATGCCATGAGATAGTCGGCCAGCGTGCACAGAGTGCCGACAGTGATGCCACGGGTGACTATGGTATCGATTTCGATGCCGCCGATCTCAGGCTTGTTTCGTCTCTCGTCTTTGAACGCGAACTCGGCCCTGGTGTCTATCGATGCGGCGAAGGGCGGCGTGACAATCATGGCGCCGATGGCAGCTGTGTCCGGGATGCGGGACCAGTCAGGGACCCATGTGGGCAGGCTGGCGGTATCAGTATGTAGCGGAAAGTGAATTGCCTCGCAAATGACGTCCAAACGTCCGGTAGTGTGTACGAGGTAGTCGACGACGTTTGTGTAAATCTCCTTGACCGATAAGCTGTAGTCGACCTTGAATTCGCTTCGTACGTCTTCCGACAGCAGTCCGAGGATTCCGAATACTTTGTCTTTGGGTTCTGATGCGAACTTCCTCCTGCAAACACGCATAACCTCCAGAAGGCTCTCCGCTCCGAAGTGTGCGGGTGACCGAACGTCCATGTAGGGAAGGCTGCTGGGGCCTTGATTCGTCAGAATCTGGGAGTAGGTGAAGTGATTGTGCGATGCCCTGGCGTATGTTCTACCCTGGGAGTTCCCGGGAAAGTAGTGTTCCAGATCACCTTTGCGTTCCTTGAAGACGTCGGCTGCTTTTTGATAGACGCGCCACGGAAGTATGCTGGAACCGCAGTAGACGTGTAATTTGTTGGCGTTGAAAACCTCTTGAACAACCCACAGCCTCTTCCAGTAGTCCCTCTCGAAAAGAGACACCGTCGCAGATATGTCCGCCTGTCTGCTTCTCGAAGACAGAAGCTCCGTGATTCGTTCGCGCGAGGCAGCTTTCTGGGCTAATTCCTCAAGGAGCTCTGTCGCCGCTAGGCTTCTGTCCGCCTCGGCACCCAGCCAGACAGCCACTGACTCAGCTTTGCTGTATATCTTGGTCATGAGCTGAACTTGTTGGGTTTGTTCATCTCTGTTCTGCTGATCGATGCAGAGCCTGTCCACCCAGACTGTGACGATGCTGTTCTTCTGGCGGAGCGCATCCAAGGCACCGTGCAGACTAGCGGGAATCGGTATGTCGGTGCCCTCGAGCTCCAGACGCCGAGTGTCCCCGGCATCGCCCCAAGCGTACGAAACGGCCACGTACTTTGGGGGATTGGAGATCGATTCGCGTCTCACCTGGCACTTGATCTTGGACATTCTTGCGGGCAAGATTCTGACCAGTCTAAATTCCGACTCGCCCAGTGGATCATAGCGGTAAATTTTATCGCCAAGAGTTCCGGTGGTAGAAGTCTTCAATGTCTTAGTCGATCCAGAGGCGGATGGTCTTGAGGTAGCTACCGACTCCGCTACTGAACTTGGCTCAACGTGCCGTGGTCGTCTCGGCTTACTAGACTTGACTTCCGGGAATGGTGTCACAGGATCTTCTATAGTCGCGTAGGTCGTCGTAACGATCATGTCGTTGTCTGGCGCTCGCATTTGATATAAATCATGTTCGTAGTCTGCTTCGACGAAGTCTTCGTTCGCACGACGAATCTTCAGCTTAGGGGGCTGGGCTTTGTAGTGGCGGGTTTCATCCGGGGGCGACAAGTAGGCGGAGCGACTAGCTGGAGCCGTTGCCAGGGGCGGACTGACAGGGCGAGATGGTCGCACATCTTGAGATGAGTATCGCCGGCGGTCGTTCCTCAGCGGGGGAGGAGAAGGGACCCGGCCGGCATGTTGATACTGTGGACGGATGACGGGCGGAGGAGATGGCCTTCTCGATTCTCTCGATTGGTAGGGAGAAGGTCGAGGTAAACTCGGCGGGGGCGATGACCTTCTGGCTTCTTTCGACACAAGGTCCCTCGGATCCCAATCAACTATGAAGGTCGATTTCTTCCTTCGCGCGTCATCGTCAGAGTGATAACCTCTGTTTGGTTGCGGTGCGGACAAATATTGATAGTCACCCACCCGGCGAAACTCGTCGTATCTGCCGGTCATGGTCGCGGTCTTTGACCTGGGTACGAAAGTGCGGAAATGTTTGAAATGCCAACTTTTAAAATGAGAGCCGACGATTGTGAATGTGAGGCAATTCTTGTCAGCCTAGGGTTGGCTGAATGGAAGATTGTGGTGAGTGTTGAGACGAGCGGGGGAAGCGGCTCAGAGGGGAGCAGGCGTGACTGCATGCCATGCGCACTCCAATCCGCTTCTTACGAACCAACAACCAATAGAAGCGAGATACGGTCAGCTTACCTGAGTGGATCATGCATGCCTGCCATACAAGCGGGCTTACTGCATGGTTCGCGTGGTTCGCGTGGTTCGCGTGGTTCGCATACGGCGGCCTCAGCCTGATCTGACATTCTCACTCTGTTTGAGAAAAAATGTGCTATTGAACGCCAAGAGACTCAAATTCTTGACGAGGAAACGGGCTGGGTTACGTTTTAGTCTCATGCTTGTGACTGCACGTCAGCACTGAGTCTCATTATCTCCTGGCTGCTATCGCAAAGCCGAAAAGCATAGCTGAGCGAATGCTGAGGGGGTCGATGATAGATGATAAGACAACGTAAATAGACACATTAAGCTGTCACAAGCCCTTCTTCTTGAGTTATGGATCAGATTGATGAAGATTTAGTTCACGTCAATATCACTCGAAGACTTGAAAAGCACATATCGTTCAAGACCATGACTACGTAGCACAGGAGGTGGCCTTCGGACCTGAAGCGGCGCCTCAAGTGAACTTGTAAGTTGAATCTGCATTATCCATGAACTACCTGATCCTCATCTTATCTCCTAGACTCCTGAATGATATCCTCCACGAGATTCAACTTCGTCATCTTCTTCAGCATGCCCTCAAAGATCCACGACGGCAGCATGCTGGCTATCCGCGATACCAGCGCGCTCTCGCCTCTCCAGATGACCCTTGGTGGGTTCTGGCTCAATAGAGGTGCGGAAACCTGGGCAGCCCACTCATCAGCCGATATGCCAATGACGCGGAGCTCTTCCTGGCTCATGGCCTTCTCTACAATTTCACGAGCCGGATTGTATATCGAACCCTTCGGGAGTCTATCGGACTCAGTATTGAACTTGCTGTTGGAGATGAGGTTCGTTCGCACCCCAGCAGTCTTCAATTCCACGACGCGAATCCCGAAAGCGGCCAGCTCAAGGCGCATCGTGTCCGAGAGCATTGCAAATGCCGCCTTGGATGAGTTGTAGACGCCTTGGAAGGGCAGAGCCGCGACGGATCCCACCGAGGTATGATTTACAATTAAGGGCTGGAAGGTAGCGGTTGCGGACTTGAGAAGTAGTGGTAAGAAGGCCTGTGTAACTGCAAGCTGGCCCCAGACGTTGGTCTCAAAGACCTCTCTAGCAGTATCCAGTGGCGCATCGGCAATCGGCATCGTGTAGTTGGTTGCCGCGTTGTTGATGAGCATGTCCAGGCCTTTGCCTTTGGGAAGGGATGACGAGACAGCAGATAGGGCTGAAGTTATTGAAGATGTTGATGTTATATCCATGGCAACTGTCTCGATACCGTGGCCGGAAAGTTCAGATAGCTTGGAAGGGTTTCGCGTCGTCGCAAAGACACGATGCCCAGCGTTATGCATCGCAGTTGCCAGAGCCGCGCCGGTTCCGCCTGGGGAGCAGCCGGTGATGAGGATCGTGAGTTGTCGGGGAGGCATACTGAGCTTGAGTTGAAAGTGGTGAAAATGGAGAAGCTACCGCAGCAAGATGACACAAAGGTGCTTGAAGTTGGTGGTTGTCGTACTTTTAACACGAATTGTAATGGCGAACGATGCAATATCTGTCTCTGTGTTCATGTAATTTCTTCCATGTATCATATTAGAGTCCAGCAGTGCAGCCGTTTCTTTTGTACTTACGACGGCCGTGGACTTGCGGATTTGCGGCGCGGAGCGGCGGACTGATACGTTTAGTGGATCCACTTCGGCGCCGGTCCGTACTATTCAATCGTTGAAACTGCCGTCTCCGGCCAAAAAGACTCCACCGACGGATGAGCTCCGCTCGGAGTCCGCCCGGAGTCCGCCGCTAGGGCGCGAAAGCAAATTTGCCAGAAATGATCTCCTGGCACATCGGGACAATGCGAGCCTGGGGACGATGCAGGGGAAAGACGGGTTCGTTTAACTCCTACACTTTCAAACAATTACTTTTCTATTAGAGATAGCTTGTGGTATGCTGCTGTATGCTGCTGTTTGAATCTCAATGCCCTGTTTCCTCATACAGCTCATACAGCCGATACTCCCCGGCAGTCAAACCAGCGTTTTTCACACACGGATTTTCACTCAGACAGACCCCGACTATGCGGGATGGCGAGAACGTGCGGGCGAAACTAACACGCTCTTACGCATAGCGCATTCCATGTAACCCATGGGATAACAGGTGCCCGCTGCTTTGCAGTCTGTGTAACCTTTGGCCCATTTCTTTGGAAATGGAATCGATTTACTTGATTCACTAGATAACAAGGGCCATGTTCCATATGCTTAAGAGGCATACTATAGGAGGACTAGCCACGAGAAAAAAAACACGACGCGGGTGGGACAGAGCAAAAAACTCCCACATAGGAGGCGAATTTGCGGTGGGGAAGCTCAAAGACGGTTTGGGGGTAAGATGTGGGAAACTGTTACTTCGGCGGTTGGGCGTACAACCTGGCGTTTTTCTACGGTAGCTTAGGTTTCCAGTAAAGATTCAGTTAGCGTATGCATGAGTTTCCCTCCAGATCTGACTATTGACACAATATTGCCCATCACCTCGTCCCAGAAGTACCGTTACTTTCGCCGTTGCCGTTGCCGTTGCCGTTGCCGTTGCTGTTGCCGCTGTCGTTGTCGTTTTCGTTCTCGCGAACAATTGTTTATCCCATATTCCTGGTATATGGATCGATCCCACAGTGCGCGAACCGGCAGTGATCGTAGCTAAACGTCAAGTGTAAGCCTCGAAGTTTGTTGGGTCATCAATCGGCGTAGTTTCAGACAGCTTCAATTGGGTCCGATGAAAATGACCGTCTACTCAAGTGACAATCTCAACGGCCTTGCCTGGACTTAAATCGCGTATTACTTGCTTGTGTCGGGCTGTCAATGCGTCGGCGGTGTGCCGCCTTTAACGGTAATCTGATCGGATCATCTGAAGCTCGGCCATGACTTCCCAGCATCAATAAGATCAAACGAGATTTTAGGACTAACTTCATAAACTACCTCACGAATTGAGAACCGGTATTGCTTGTGTGAAATTTCAGCCGTGATTGCTATTTCGATAGATTTGGCGGAAGAGGCGGGAGGAATGGGGTCCAAGTTTGGAAGACTTTCGCGTCCGTGTCGCGGACTGTCAGGAGGAAAGGGGTCGAGGTAGGCCCTTGACCAGTACTTAGGTTTGGTTATCGAAGGAATTGCGGATTGCGCTGATGATATTCTCATCCAATGTTCACTTACGCTTGTCTTTCTCAGCCGACACACGCAATCAAACTAAAGAAAGAGGATGATATGACGGAAGCTGTTCCGAGTTCGCCTTCTGAGAGCCGCTTCTGCGCACAGAAAACCCAAAGTTTTAGCAGAAGGACGGCCTAATATTAGCAGGAGCGCACGCCTGTAACTACGCCCTAGGGCGGATTAACGCGATGAACTATGTATGCAGCATGACAGGCTGGCTCGACTGTCACAAAAGCATGAACTGAACAAGATCAAGATAAGACTTAATGGTTGCTGCTGTATTAGATGTGCCTGAATTTACTGTGGTAAAAAGAACGGTCGCCTTGGCCATACCTGGGCAAGTTGGGTTACCATGCTGGTGGTATCCGGAGCAGTCGCGACCCCGAGTGCCGAGTCGTAAGACCTCGCACAACTCGACTTCTTCACATCATTTCATCGCTACCATTCTCTGTGACAAAGGCTTCTGCAGAAGGTCGAATTGTCTTTCAAAGCTCGTTCAATTGAAGTTCGAGGTCACTAGTGTTGAAGATGGCAGCGGCACAGGCCTGTTGAAGATCATCATCCTTTTACATCAAGCATTCAAAGTATTGAGTAGAAGTTCTTTTTCTGTGTACCACAATATCATCCGATTGTTGCCCGCGGTCTGACCATTTGGCTTCCACTGTCGTCGCTCAAAAGAGAGCCACGAAAGATATCGATGCCATCATTGTCAAAGCTAACAGCCCTGAATCTCGATCAAACACGGCATGAATCTACATATTATTGACATTCACTACATGACTATGGCTCTTATTCTCCGCGGGACCCTTTCCTTAAGGCCGTTAGCACTGTCCAGTGTGCACGCCCAGCATGATTAGTGCTAGTCGCCGATATTTCCACCGTCACGATCCAACATGAATGAGCACACTGCAGTATCCTTGCTCACAGATTCTGACAGTGTGACATGCAATCAGGGGAAATTTGGTGTAAAGCTCTCAGGCGGGTAATCGAACAGTGTCTATTGGTTTCCTCGTTAAGGGGCATACATACTGCCGGGCGGCTTAAGAAACCAAAGGAACCTTTCCCGGCATCGTGATTCGGTCATTGGTATTCTAAAACCACCGTATACATGACTTGAACCTGCGCAGCATTGATTCTCATTTGTTTTCTTTTTGTCTTTGTCACACGGACGTCGTAAGTCCTGCAAAGAGGCCATCAGCGATTCGAGTAGTTGCACATAGCACATACTTGACCGCTCAGCAAAGGTCCAGCTGTGACAACGCCTTAAACAGGCATTTGGTACCGTCACATAGGTGGGGTTTTGATCGGGGAGTTAGGGATGTATGATGAAGACTGACGCCGAAGTACCTCCAGGTGCCTTTTTTTCTCTTGTCCTTGGCCTCATACGGATCAAGGCCCGAGCAGTGGTCACCGCCTAGGCTTCATGGATGAATGCGTCCTTGCCGAGATTCTTATATGTAGACTTGACCCTGCAACTTCATGAGAGACATACAAGGCGATGCATCAATCAGTTCTACTGCCCGTCTCGCAGTGGTTTTAGTGAAGTACCTGCCGTCACGGTTACTCAGGGGTAAGCGTACACAAAACAGGCTGCTGGCGATGCACAGAAACAAGTAAAGCCCTCCCATAGAACACTGCATCATGACATTCCAGCGGACGATGGTGAACCTGGGCTTGATTCCGAGGCAGGCAGCCACCCGAATATAATAGCAGGGTCACTAGTAGCTTCTTTCGCATACTGTTCATCACAGAACGCTCCGTCCAATGTCAGGGGCACACTTCTGCGCCCACACGTACACTCTTTCCTAGAAAGCCTGGATTCCAAGTTTTTTCATTTTTTTTTTTTGACGCAAAACCACTGGAATTCTTCGACCAATGCATGTCATGAGATGATTTGGCGTGACCTGCTGAAGCTCAATAGGCTATGATGGTGTCATCCTCCTCCAATTCATCCTTTGAGTGGATTCAGGCATGAATACAGCAGGCTCAAATCCGAGGGAAAGAGTCCAGGCCCTCAAGCATCGGAAGATCGTGGATATACGAGTTATCCGGTATTCACGTATTCGCGCGAGCCTTTTGCGAACATGATCTGGAGTTTCAAGATGATGATTTCGACTATTCTAGCGAGCAGTCGAGTTCCACAAGCACTTTTCACGTCCACTCCTGATCCCATCATTATTCCTCATTGTTCCTCATTCTAATGACGCAGGTAAACGTCCGAGATAATCTCAGTCCATTTGTTCTGGGCCCGATGGAAATTTTCCGTTAGTGGCTAGGACACATACGATGTCGATGGCAAACACCCTGAATAGGGCGTTGTCCGAAGATCAGATGGTCGCTACACCCAAATCGTCCGTGCAAAAGGTTTTAACGTGGTCTATTTACGGACAGTCTCTAATAATCATTGAGTCAACGTAACGAAGCTGGCGCTTTTTTGGAAGCTTTTGCGTGATGATCTGATTTGAGAACATGTTTGATCATGTTTTGTGTGAAAAGGAAGAATGTTTCTTTTACTGCGACGAGGTCAAGAACAATCATCGCGTGCTAAACCATCCAAGATACTTGCTCCATTGGCGGTATGCTGTCTACATGCTGTAAAGACGGTTCAAGAAACGAGCATAAGCGATTCTCGTTCAAGTCCGTGTACTGCCTCTACCATCCCTACCTAGAGAACCACACATCCATGCTAGTCTACTGACATGACCCAGATGAACACAGTGTTACAATACCCATCCAGCCATCTTGTTTCAGAAAAAGGCGGCTTCTTTCCCGCCTGGCCCGCTCCTCCTGTCAGGAGAGTCTCTGCCGAACTCAGCGAGCGGCTCGCATCTCGGTTCGGTCCCCGAATACGTGATGACTATCCCATCGATCTGGAACCATCCTGTCGGTTCAGCCCTTACGTGACTGACGCTACTGTCTATCGTTCCACGAGTAATTAAGGGGAGTCAATGCCAGTTCGGAGAAGACCTGGTCGCCAAGAAAACACCTGGCTCGTCCGGCACGACTGGGGCCAGCTAAGCATCGCGCTCACAGGTAGCGCCGTGCGTTACTATTGAGCATCGAATGTTTGATTCCTTGCCATGCAAGAGCCAAACTTGATAGTAAGCGCTGGTGGTTCTTTTCCAAGCTCTTGATCTTCAAAGACATCGCGGCAACGCCTCGCTACCATAAGTTAGAGCAGATTACAGAGGCCTAGCACGTCGAAGTTGGAAACTTTACCAGTGCCATACCCTCGGTTCAAGGCGCAGATCCCATGGCCCGCTGCAAAACTACAGCATCCTACAAGCCTCGCCACCTCGAAAGCCTTACGTCTTTACATCACCAGATGTCAAGGGTCTATCGGCTTGCCCCAGCAGATGAAAATGCTTTACGCCGCGTTGGCAATTACTTGATGCCTTGATACGAGAGAGAGAACGCCTCGTAGTCGGGCTCTACGTCGTGTCATTGGCAGGACGGGAAACAGACCCCATGATTACCACGCAGTTACACATCTTCATATTCATGTAAATGAACATTTTGCTGGCCATGTCGTCCCCCTCCAATGTCATCAACTACAGCTGCCAAGCACTTCGGCACGTAGACTGCTGGGCGTTTATTGAATTCTCTTTGAGGCTGCAAGGAACACATGGGCCATGGGGTATATTGTAGATCCCGACCCTGGAATTTGCTAGCCTTTCGGTTGTTCTCATCCCACCGGCTCGAAGGTCCCCACGGCTTTAGTTCAACTTCTATGGACAGGCAGGAGGATTGTACCATCTCCCTAGAAGAACTCTGTAGGTGACAACCAGTTGGTAGTCCATCATCGCAGTTCATATCGATCCGGTCATTGAAGTCTTAACGGCAGGACAGATGCCTTCCCCTCCGATCAGAAGGCTTCGCAAGCGGACACTCAAGACACTCCTCCCAGCCAGTCGATGGCCTACAAACCGTAGCCCTGTTGATCCAAGGAGAATTAAGTACCTCGCTTCCCTCCTCGAACGTCCTAAAATGCAATAGAGCACGTCTTCTCCACGCGCTGAGCGGGAAGGCTAGAACGCACAACGCCTAGGCCGACTGTCAGTTTCAGGGGACGCCCCCGTTTCTAACCCACAGAGATTGTCCCACGCAAAAAAGGTCGGGTCAGCGTCTAAAGTACCCGGGGTGGTGCCGCCAGGTTACCGCTTCCGAGTCTTGGTATTCCACTAGAAAGGTCGGGGATCCTGCAGAGCAATCTATTCCGAACGTATTGGTCCGAAGAAAGCAATCATTTTGATGAGAAGGGGCTCTGGTTGAGGGTTAACGATCTCGTTGGGTTATACGCATGGAGTTTAGGAGCGGCAGTCGCCCGATTGAGTCGATGGGTGATGTTTGTGATCGGCCTACTTAAGAAGCTGGACTGCCAGTCTACCATACAGCTGAAAATCCAAGTCAGTTCCATCATCAGCTTCAAGACATTCTTTGCTTTCTCATTCCATTCCTTCCCAAATTACCATTCACTCTTTTCGACTTGAAGTCGTTTCATTCTTTTTTCGCCCAACCTTCCAACCGCCCAACATGAAGACCACCGTCGTTCTCTCCGCCGTCCTCGGCCTCGTCTCCTCGGCCTCGGCCCACTACACCTTCGACAAGCTCCTCGTCAACGGCGTCCAGCAGGGCGGCGACAACACCTACATCCGCAAGCACCAGAACAGCTACATGCCCACCAAGTTCAAGAACACCCCCTCGGGCTCCATCACCCCGACCGACGCCGACTTCACCTGCAACAAGGGCGCCGCCGCCGCGCCCCAGGTCATGAAGGTCAAGGCCGGCGACAAGGTCGGCCTCAAGCAGGCCTACGGCGGCACCGGCATGAAGCACCCGGGCCCCGCCCAGGTGTACATGAGCCCCGTCGCCGACGCCAAGACGGACAAGGGCACCGGCTCGTGGTACAAGGTCCACGAGGCCCTCCTCTGCACCGCCGGCAGCGCCGAGTCCCTCCGCACCGACGCGTGGTGCGTCTACGGCGAGGACAACGTCTCCTTCACCGTCCCCGCCACGATCCCCGACGGCCAGTACCTCGTCCGCGGCGAGCACGTCGGCCTCCACGGCGCCCACGACGGCCAGGCCGAGTTCTACTACGCCTGCGCCCAGGTCGAGGTCTCGGGCAACTCGGCGACCAGCATGCCCGGCACCGCGGTCAAGATCCCCGGCGTCTACAAGCAGGCCGACGCCGCCGTCAACTTCAGCCTCTGGGGCTCCTCCACCTCGTACCCGACCACCCCCGGCCCCGACGTCATCCCCGGCGGCACCGTCCGCGGCAGCGCCGACGGATCCGGCGGCGACAAGATCACCACCGTCTCCGGCGGTAGCAACGCCGCCTCCAACGTCGGGGCTGAGGCTGCTGCCACTCCCAACTGCAAGCACTAGACGGATGCCATGGTCGGCCTCGGAAGCCATTTCTCGAGCGCCAGCCAAAGCAGCACAATTCCCACAGCTCTGGACCATTTGGATGCCATTGGGCTTTTTCGGGAACTCCAGGATCGGCAGGGTCACACACAGAAGTCCTGTTCACTTGACCGGATTGGAACTCCTTTTTTTATTCCATTGTACATAGTTCGCCGCTGGAAACGGCGGATGCAAATAAACACCGAATTGACTTCGCACTAGTGCCAAACATCTTGCCACCTGAACCAGACCAACATTCATGTGTCTTTACCATTCCCTCCACGACTAGCATCCTCAGATCTCAGCCCTTTCAGAAAGTCCTCAATTTGGAACTTCAGCTGGTGCGACGGACCAACCCGAAGCCTTCTCGGTAAAGATCAGTTCACCTTTCTCCCGGAGTTTGGCGGGTTCCGCATAGAACCTCAAACCCTGGTACGTCGTCCCAAGTCCATGTACCCGTACAATTACATGAATTATCGGGAGTTCCGACGTCGCCGTTTGGGCAACGTTGTCTTGCATCTGCCGCAGCTCTCGTCAGCAAAGGCCAAATATTCACTCTCTGCCACAGTGATCGGAAACCTACCATCTGCCAGTGTTGGCGATCAACGAAGAAAGGTGTTCCCAATGGGCCATGTGTCGGCGCTACGTCGATCAAGAAACGGACAGGCTGCAGTGAACGTCCAGAGTTCCTGAACGAGTGCGCTTCGGGCAAGAGGATCTCGGAGAGGATTCCGCTCATGTCGTCCCATACTATGTCTGTCGATTGCATGCCGGCCCAAGGCTTCAACTTGTACAAAGGATGCATTTGGCATGACCACTTCCCATCTCGTTCCTGAGCTCGACTGGAACTATACGCGCTGATTACGTAGTTACGGAGCGTATCGAACGCCTGGGTCTAGTTAGCATTTCTCTCGAGACTGCACAAACGCACTGGTCCATGGACCAGAGGTATTAGGCTTCTCAAGACGACTTACATATATCTCTGCTCTAGTCTCCAAAGTAAAACTTTCCATTGGTGCAAGCTGCTCCACGACGTCTTTCATGTTGTTTGCGACTTCGATTGCGCTAGGAAGCGAGTTCAGAAGAGCGGTCATGTCGAACCTATCGGTTGTCGGGGCAGCTAGTGGGATGCGAAGCTCGGGGATTTCAGGAGCGGCAAGATTCAAAGCTTTCATGTATATCTCGTCTTGAAGCAGTCCGGCGCTGGTGGGACTGTCTGCCACACTTTCCCAGGAATCTTCATCAGAGGCAGCATACCCAGCTAGAGCGGTTGGCGGCAGTAGCGTAAGTCTTGGGGGAGAGTCCGGACCGGGAGATTGAAATGTGAAAGCTTCCAAGGCCGGGGCCGGGTCCGCCACGGTATTGGACACCTGAGGGCTCTCGGTACTCGGCCTCACGTCAACGGGGCTGCCCATTGCTGAAGGCGGCGTCAAGACTTCGGGACTCTTTGAAGACCCTGGGGGGCCAACATCGGTTGCGTCCAGCGCCGCACCGCCGTTTTGTTCTCGTGGCTGGGCCTGGTCGTGGTCGGCCTCGAGCAATTTCTCGTCGCCACTGTCCTTGATCTCCGGGACACCAACATTGATGATGCCTTCAGCGTCCAATAGTTGGGACAACACTGCCACTGGCGCGTTGAGTGCAACGCCGGCCATCCGGAGTGCCCGGACGTCGTCGAGCCAGACCACTCTGCGCGGTCCTATCATCCAATCCAGAAGCTGAAGTGGGAGAGAAGTGTGGTAGCAAATGCTCTGCTGGTCTTGATCGCGTGGAACATAGATCTTTGGGGCGACTTCGTCATGTTCGATGTATGCGTGAGCCGTCTTTGGCTCGATTGCCTGTGCTATAGTGCGGGCTCCGTGGCTTTGGCTCTTCTGGTAGACGCAAACATTTGCGCATATGCCATCGGTCTCGTAGACGCTCGCGTTGTGGAGCATGTGATACAATCTGGGGTTTGCGTCCACCCGATAGTGATAGAATTGGGCAGCAACACTGAGTGATGTTAGTTGTTGCTACTTTGACCCGTTCTGAATGGCTTTCAACTCACCGATACAATGCATGGGCTCGTTGTCGTATTTGCCGGTCCGCATTTTGCAACTTTGACGCTTGCGCACCTGGTTTGAGCCATACTGTTCTCTCCATGTTGCGGCTGAAGTACCGATCACTCAGATCAAGCCACGCGATTATGTTTCCCAGCTTGTGAACCTCAACTGGGGAGAAGTCGAGGAAATCAATATCCGACGCAAACGTATCGGTCGCATACTTGGAATCCGGAATGAGGAAATACTCGCACGCACGCTTCAGAGTAACTTCGCCACTTGCATGCCTCACGGGGAATGCCTTCAACTCCAGTAGCCTTTTGGGATCCAATGGAGCTGATCCTCCGAAAAACGTAGCTAGAGTTAGAAGGGCTTGCTTGACTTGCGAAACAGGAGGAGATGGCCGTTTCCGACACATCAGCAGGAAGTGGTCGTACACCGTTTCGACTGTCAGCGTACGAACTCCGAGTTTGTTGACGAAGAAGTCTCCAAGGTCGGGATACACGTCGCTGAGTATGATGGGTGATTGGAGATGGCAGTTGGGAAAGGGGGACCAGGCGCATTGGTCAATGGTGTACCAACCAGTCGCAGTGGCGGTTTTGACGTAGATGACGGGGTCATTCGGGTTTTCGAATCCCTTTCTGCAGATAGCGTCAGTTTCAAGAGCTGAACGTCCAGATGATTGATACTTGCCTCAAACCATCAAGTTCATTAGGGACGTTCACGTTCTCAAGTCTCATTTGGGCCAGCCAGTACAGTTCGACGACAGTTTCCTGAACCTCGGACGCAGATAAGTCGGCTTTTTGTCGAAGACAACTTAACTCTGCGACAACGTCTTGCGTCTACCAATCTCGGATCCCGAGCGTCACCCGAAAGAACATCGCAAGAGAAAACATTCTCTCTTCGGCCCCTTCAAGCTCAGCCCGATAGAGAGGCTCGAGAACTTCCTTTGACAGCATACTCCGAGGTGCCTTCCATACACAGTCTTTTGGCGATGTCCAAAATTGCACAGCCTGATCCTTTTCGGGAAGCCAGACACCTTGCTCTCGGGCAAAAAAGTCCCTAAGCCTCCGTCAGCTATCGTGGTCCAGCGCTTCAATAAGCGGAAAAGTGTGTATCTTACCTGATCTCGGCTCCTTTCGCCTTGCTGTACCCTGATGCGAGGAACAGACCTTGGAACTCCCCGTAGAGGCCCAGGATTGTTGCGCTTTTCTGGCTTGGGGTTGCGTTATCGTCTTCAGGTCCGATGAGAATGCCGCCATAAAAGTCGACGTCGGCACGGTCACGCACACCCAGCTCGTCGACCAAGAACTTCCACTTTGAGGGCCAGGAGTCGGCCGATATCTCCTCGTCAAGACGGAGGAACTTGACAGACGGGTCTGCGGTGTGCTTCGTAGATTTCTGCTTCAATTCGGGCAGCGGGAGGTAGGTTTCGGGCAGGCGAGCCAGTCTTCCGTCCTCGCAGGGAACTTCGACGTTTCGTAAAAGTTTGATGAATGACTGGTAGTACTGCCTATCGATGAGATCCCAGTGCGCTTGCAGTGCTCCGACGAACTCATTTGGCTGGTATGCTAGCACATATTCGAATTCTGGCGAAAGTTTTCCCGGGCTGAGGGTAGCTGCGGTCAACGGCAGCCGAGTGCGGAGATGCAGACATCGTTGAAGCCATTCGATCCATGTCTCTTCGGCCTCGGCTATTGCTGGCGGATCTCGCATGTATTCTTCGTGGAGGAAAGAGGCGACATATTTGGGATGTTGGGCCGACGAGACCGGTGCCAACAGCGCGCTAGGTCCGTATGGAGTGTTAGTCTCCATGTACGTTGGCTCGTGAGACGAAAGTCGGAATCGCATCTGGTTGTCAACGACAACCAACTTTTCAACCGCTTTGGGTCCCTCGTTTTTGTCTTTGTATCGTTCAGAAAGATACATATATTCCAAGCATTGCTTAGAATCAGTCAGGGCTTGCTCCGTTGCCTTCTTCAAGAACGGCTGCGAAAGAATGAGCCGGCGTACGGTATCAACGCCTGCTCGTTTGACCCCCAATGCTTTGAACAAACGGCACCTCGCGTCATCATCAACTTCATCGGGGCTGCTGTTCGAGAGACGAGCGAGCGTCTCATCCAAGAACTGCATCTCCGAGCACTTCGGGATTTTGAATCCCTTCTCGCAGTAGTCAGGGAAATATACTGGCTCAGCGAGGCAACTCACAAGCTTTCCCGTGTCCAGTGGGATGATAGCCAGCTTACGTATCCTCTGACGACGCTCTGTTACGCCCTTGTCTTCGCCTGCGTTCCAAATCTTGAGCAAGATAATGACAGCCTGCTGCAACCAGGATTCGTTCTTGGCAATGTTTTCCACCGTCCAACGAGAATTATGTTGCACGTCGTGCTCTACACGTAACAACATGTCATTCCAGCTCATGGCACGGAGGCCATAATTTGGGAGGAGTTGCATGTCAGAAATGTCGTATTCTGCCGCACGGAAGACGTAGTTTGTACTTTTGGGGCGATCCTGGAATATTGGCTTTCTGTCGCTATCGAGCCACCAGTCGGGCGGGCAGCGAAACATAGGAATGGCATAAAGTTTTCTGCTGCCGTTTAAGTTGTGTCGAAGTAATTTGGCATCATGTATCCTGTCCTTGACCTTTTCGAAGAGACAGCATGCGAATTGGTCTGAGGCATTAGACGCTGGTGGGGGAAGCAATCTCGCCCACTGGTACTGCAAAGGTCCGGTTGGCATCGAGGCAAACTCCTGAACAGTTTTCACCACACACTGAGCAATGGCACCGGCGAGAGCCATATTGCGTGGGGAGGTGATCGGAACCCCGTACCGGTTCGGAATGGTCTCAAAGTCCGCTTGGATCAAAAACTGGCGAACAGTTAGTAGATGCGAGAATCAAGCTAGCGACTCCGGGGTCGAATGGATAATAGATGGGTGATGGAACTC